AAAAAAAAAAACTGAATATGTGATGTGGATGTCTTCTATGCATATGTGTATCCCTATGGGGAAATGATGTGCCAATAGAGCTGCTTTTCAGTCAGGTGCTGATTTCCCTGGAGTAACATCTTACTTGACACAGAACATGTATTACTGTGGGAACTGGCTGGTCCTCAGCACAGATCCGTAATGGTCCTTTTTACATATTTGCAAAATGAAAATAAACAGTCCTTCCCCAAGTGCTTACACTCCTCCTGGGTAAGGATGAAGTGGATCCACTCTGGCCCCTCATTAATGGATTATACCACTCTCTAGTTAGCACACCAATGGTAGCACAAGAAATTGTTTCCTCAGGCTCCCAAACATGTCTATTTGTCATTTCTACAAACAGGCTGGATCTTCACAGCCTCTGCAGCTTTTATGTATGTTTTTATTAAAAAGGCAACATCACAAGCAAATGGTATTACATCTTCTAATCCTAAATAATTTTGCATGTGAGTCTACACAAAGGCAGGTAAACAGTTGGATGGAGTCATGAAAAGGTGTGATTCAATAACCTCTTACTCCTCTGAACTTTGTAGATAAAAGCTGTACTTATAAAAGATTCCAACCTTTGAACCAACATTTCATAAGAATATATGGTCCAATACCCCAAACTGTTTGCATTTGAAAGAATGACAAGTAACTTAGAGTGGGTTTCCACCTACCAAAAAAACCTTTCAGAATTTAAGTTGGGAAGCAATAGATACACATATTCAGCCATTCTCATTAGATCTTTTCTGAGATTAATTGCCTATGGTTTGGGGCTTTGTGTTACCCCTTGAATTCAGAAGTCATCTTTTTTTTCTCCAGCAACAAACAAAGTATGAATCAATATTTTTAAGCTTCTTCTAATGTAGAGCCAAATAGAACAGTTAGGCCTCTTCTTTGTCTGTCACAAAGAACAGATCTCTAAATAAAGCTAATGTATCTTCAAATAAATTCAGTGAGGGGCACTTAAGTTAGCAATACACAATAACAAGAATATAATAAGACATTAAAACAAACTCAATATCTTAGTGTTATGCTACTAAACCCTCACACAACTGAAAAGAGACTATCAAATGATGACATGAGTACAGCCAATTGATACTTTTATTAATGCCAGCTATTTACCATAATACTAAAATAATTCTTTTTGTTGACACATTTGGTTAAAACATGAGCCAACATATTTCCCATTCCAGCTGGTCATACCCTAGGTCTAGCCAAAGAGTAAGAACATCACCAAGTCTAAATCTAGGCGGTACTCTGGAGGTCATTTAGACCAACTTCTTCTAAATGCTGAGGAAACAGAAAGATCTGGGTCCAGCACACTCCCCGCCTGGGGA